AATTTTCATACCATTCGTGTCGGTTATAACCGACACAATTGCAATTAATCAAAATTATTCCTGTGTAACCGTTACTATTTGTGTCAGTTATAATCGATACTATTGCGATAAAAAAAATTATTCCTGTCGGTTATATTCGACAGGAAATCCGACAGTTTTAAGCAAAAATTCTGGCCAGCCCTCTGGTCCTTTGGCCCTTTCAGATTCCATGGTGCCCACGAGCCCTTTGGCCTAGCCCTCTATTAGAGACGGTTTTCAGGCTATTTTTGACCCTCTGGACCCTTCAGTTGGAGATGACCTTACCAATGAGCATGCGACCAATTATAAGCACTTCCCTCGTGATCTCCTTTAAAAGGAAGTACTTTTCCAACACATTCACATCTCAGTTGTTCCAACTCACGAAATTTTCAAATGACATATTGAATGCTTATAAGTTATAAGGCCCTACCCACGCTCCTTCGAGGCAGAAAACTCAAACCCCCGACCTAAAATCACCTCTATTTCCCACAATATTTACAAGAAGCCCTCGCACTTTTCCCATTTTTAAAGACTTATAAATGTTGATTGAATTGGTAATTGAAACATTAGATCCTATTCTGCCCTCCATGGCCCTTACTCACTGAGTTTTTCTAGTATGTAGACTGAATATTTACAGGACAGTTGCGGGATGTGAGTGTTGGGTTGTTCAATAGGGTTCGTTTGGAACTGTCTTTTAAAAAAAAAAAAAAAAACCGCTTCTACTTAAACGCATTTCAGTAAAAATGCTTCTATCAGAAGCGGACTGAACTTTTTACTAAAAATGAAAGTGATAAACTTTGTAAGCCCAACATGGTCCACCACCAACGTCTCCAATATTGTCATAACTTACTAGGTATTGAGTTTTTTCACAAAAAAAATCAGTGAAATTATATGTAAAAACTCACAGAGATTAATGGTATATTATTTTGTTATATGACGATTATGAGATCTTATTTTCCAACAAAAAGTGCCCCTTAAAGCATTTGAGTGCGTAACTAAAAAACACTTCTAACTTTTTCTATCAAACATGATTAGAAACACCTTTTGGTATTCTGAAAGCCTTTTAGTTATTTCAAAAACATTTCCAAACAAGTACAACAGTTGATTAGCCAACACTCGCATCTCGCAATACTCATCCTATATTGAACAAATTTAGCAAAACTAAAACCATTTCGAATGCTTAGAAGAAAAATACTATTAGACTAAAAGCTAAGCTTTGATTTTAATAATATCATCCATTTGACAATTTGTGGTGTTGGGAGAATGATCAAATAGATTCCTTAAGATTTTAGCCAAAGAAGAAAACTATAATTCGAATTCGACTATGGCTTAAGACAAATTAATATTCTTCAAACTGTGATATAATCCTAAAAGCTCCAACTAACTAGTGCTCTTTTTTCTTCACAACTTAAAGATTTTACTCTTTGCCATACATATATGTACATAAATTTAGGTGGTGAGTTACATTAGACAGTCACGTTCGACCTCAACCCACCGAAGCCACGAAATAGGGTTCATTGGTCATGACCTATATAATATATGGTAGTTGAAACTTTGGCATATTTGGTTTCCAAGTAGAGAAATGACAAAGAGATGTTACCCTCCCCCAAATAATATATTTCTTATTTATTTATTTATTTCTTTTAATATAAAAGTAATGCCTAAGAATATATGAAAACCTTGATGAACATATCCCACAAAGAGAACCCAAGTAGTTGGTCTTGTGTGCCTTCCAACGTGCAAAACAGACCTACCCAAATCTGCAGTATGCAGAAGGGGTGTGCTATCCACACACCCCAAATTACTTCTCACACACCCCTTGTTAATTTCTGTTCGTTGATCTTCTTTAATTCATCCGATCCGATGACCGAAAATTAGAAAGGTGTGTGAGAAGTAAAATGAGATGTGTGGATATCACACCCTTATGCAGAATACCATGCGCATCTATCGGTATATAAATATCTTTATGCTTTCTAAGTAAGTGGATGTGAAAGTTTACAAGTGATCATTTGCCTTTTTTTTTGTTTATTTTATATATCATTAGGGTATATAAGGGTAATTAGAGAAAACTAGCTTTAGCTTACGAGGAGAGAGATTCAAAATTGAATGTAAGCAAGTGGAGACATAATTGAAGAATAGAATCTCACAACGCTATCATATGACAAACTAATATATAATAAATATATGGGAGTTTCCACCCCTAATATCATTGAAGCATTTTGTGATAAAATTGTGACCTAATAATAAGTAGTTAAGTTAGAACAATATCAGTAATATTGTTCATGGACCACGCTAAGCCTATAAAGTTTATCATGGTATCATAGCAGCCTATTCTTTTGATAAATCATGGTCCCAATCTACTAGGCTCGAATTTGTCTCTTTAAGTTGAGCTTTCAAAAAATTTGCCTTATCTCTAGTTTAAGGATATTGAATGACTGGGCACTTGTAAAGTTGTGTTGGTTATAGTCTATGAATGATGTGTTCAAAAAAGCAAAAAGTCTCGTGTCGGCCATCTTACAAAACAAATCACAACTTATATCAAATGGTTCCACTTCTGATTGTGTCAAGCCCTTTTGCATAAAAATCTCATACCTATTGATTGCATGGGTGATTATGTGGAGACAATATTGATGCTATTAGTGGTGGATTGCGTCCTGACTCTCTGAAACTTTAACATGGTATCAGAGCGAGTTTTCAAATTTGAGTCCAAATTTTGGGTTCTCTTACAAACATGAGAGATGTAGCTTTACGTTTGGTCCACTCCAAAGTGGTCCGACTTGAGGGGGCATGTTGAATAAAGTAAAAAGTTCCACGTCAACCATTTCACAAAACAAATAACATTTAATATCAATTGGCTCCACTTCTAAATTTCTAATTGCACTAAGGCCTTTTGCATAAAAATACCACACATATTGATTGTACGTGTGATTAAGAGTGGACAGTATGGATGCCATTAGTGGTAGATCACGACCTATCTCTCTAAAACTTTATCATGATGACTGAGCTCTCGAAAAGTTGTGTTAGCTTTGATGTAATGACTCGACCAGTTCCCGTTGTGGGGATTCGTTTCCCTTATGACCCCATGTGAGGCCACTCGTGAGGAACATGTCGGAGAATAGGATCTCACATCGGTGATATGACAATAATATACAATTAATAATATCAATGAGGCATCTTGTGTGATAAAATCCAACACCTAGTAATAGATGATTAAATTTGAACAATATCAATGATACTGATGATCAACCATACTACCGACAAAGTTTCACAAATTACCATAATTTACAAGTTGAACTCATGTCTGCAAATTTAATTCAAACTCAGACCCATCAAATGAAAAAGTCAAGCTTTCAAGCAAAAACTACTTAAAGCTAATAAACAAAGCCTAAGATTGGTTGGAAAAGTTTATAACTATTAAACATTTGTGATAAGATTGGTTCGAAATCATATCAAGCTAGATCTTAAAGCTTAATCCTTATTTAACTTCCAAATTAAAATATTGAAATCTAAACGTTTCATTATTAGTAAGCCATTGACCTGCCCTTTAAGTTCAAGGTTAGTTAGCCCCACATTGTTTTTAGTCAAGCTTGCGTACATATATAATGCACATACCACACATGTATGCATATATAGTTTTCCAAGGATACGACGTCTATTATTATTTTAACGTAAGAGGTATTCTGTAAGATATTGGTGCCACACTACTTTTCCTCCTCATGCAATTTTAATACCACATAAAATAACATCGTACTTTTAACTTTCGAGTCAAATGGTATCCTAACCCAAAGCCGGAGCTACAAGAGATGCATCCGTGAAAGCTTGAACTTTGATTGGGAATTTCAAACCTTTTTGGCTATCCGCTTGACCAACCTGTAGTTGATAGGGGGTTTAATTTTAGGGGAAGGATTGTCTGCCCTCCCACTTTCGGTGTCCTCCCATGCCCTTCTGTTTGTGTGGTCACGGTTAAGCCACGTCAACATTTTATATTACTATTCATTATTGTCTTATTATCTCTATAAAAAAAAAATGTTGACGTAGCTTAACCATGACCAAACAAAACAGGAAGGCACAGAAGGGCAAACAATCCTTGTCCTTAATTTTAGTAAAGAAAGAATGATCGATATAGTATCGTGATGTCATTGTTGAACATATCAATAACTGTTAAAAAAATAAAAAAAAAGTAATGTTATACATACTATTTATTTGTACGATTTCTCTAATAGAAATGGAAATGGTATATTTGATAAAATAATTAAAGGATTAGGAGGGCACTTTGAATGTTTCTTTTTTGGGAATTAACAATTTACAAAAGGCTAAAATTGTTTAGTTTGTGTCTTTAGTTCGGTTTTGTGTAAAACGCTTAATTATTCTTACATTGCTTAATTTATATCAAGTTAATTCAATTTAATTTTTAAAACTAATCCAGTTTAACATAGTCCGCTTAACAAATAGGAGTAGGATTCTCTCTCTTCATAGTTTTCTCCCCGAGTAATGTTAGGGAGACTAAATTTGTAGATTAAGTTTTGTAAACTAAATAATATAAAGTTGATGATTAAATTTTTACTTAAGCGTTGATAAACGTGCTCAAATCTTATTGGCGACACATCATTTAGTTTACAATTTTAGTCTATAAATTTTGTTTCCCTAGCATTACTCTCTCCTCTCCTTCCCTTCCCTCCTCTCACACTTCCCTTTTTATCTTTATTTCTTTATAAAATAATCAGTATAAAATACTAACATTGTTTAATCATAATCATTTAAATAAAAGAGAGAAAAATATAAGAGATTAGAAGGGAATGGAATCATGTACTCCTAACAATCGGGCCTAAAACTCATTGTGATTTGGCTGCCTGTGCCCCACAACTGCTGTGGCAGTTTTGTAGTAACCTCACATACCAAACCCAAAATCCAAACCCAAAATCTAACTACTCCTTCTTCCTCTTTCTCTTTTTTTATCCTTTTTTTTTTCTCTAATCTTTTTCTTTCTTCCCTTCCCCTCAACCTTTTGCTTTCGCTTTTGTTTCCGTTGAAACCGCTCTCCTTCTCTCCTCTCTCTCTCTCTGTCTCTCTCTCAATGCAAAATCCTCCAACGTCTAAATTGCTGACTGAACTTTAACTTCAAGATATTTTCCATCAAGCCCAACAAACACTCCCACCACCTCTCTCTCTGGATAAAATTCACACCTCAAATTCTCCATCAACCTCTCTTGCCGGTAACAATGGCGGTTCTCGGAGAGACAACTGAAGCCTCAAACAACTCCCTCTCCCACAAGATCACCGCCAAAACCCCATTATTCAACCTCAAACTCTACGCTGTTATAGCCATCCTCGTCCTCTGCCTCCTCGCAGCCGCCCTTCTCATCTTCCTCTGCCTCCGCATAACTCGAGCCTCACGAAAACGCAAGATGCGCGTGAAGCACAGCTCCGGCTCAATCCCCCTCGTCTCCAAGGAGATCGCCGAGATCAAGGAACCGAGTCCACGCGCCGCTTACAATGGCGAGAGAACAATAGGAAATGAAAAGTTGAAGGAGGCTCCGCTGGAGGTGACGGAGATTGTTGACATCGAAAGAGGGAAAGGGAACCGGAGCGGGTTGGAAAGTGACGGGTCGAGCCCGCATAACATCGGGTGGGGCCGGTGGTACAGCTTGAAGGAGCTGGATATCGCGACACGCGGGTTTTCTCCAGAGAACGTAATTGGAGAAGGAGGATACGGCATCGTCTACAGCGGCGAGCTGCAGGACGGCTCTGTCGTGGCCGTCAAGAACCTTCTGAACAACAAGTACGTGAATTTTATTACTTAGTGTAAAAACTATTATTTCCATTTTTTTTATTTCATGAAACTATTTTCTGTGCAAACAATTAAATAAATAGGGGATTAGTTAAGGAAAATGATACGCATGTGTCTAGTTATTATTGTGATTAGGATTAAGATCCAATCCAAGTGCCTTCTAAGCTCTGTACTCAATAATGTTTTTCGAATGAGGATCCTCTTCGGATCCTTTTTATGAAAATCTTGAGAAATCTTAAATCGTGTCCTTTTATCGTACGTATCTCACACGGTCAAAAATTATTTTAAATTTTTTTATTTAAAATTATACATAAATTGACAAAAACTAACCATATGATATACAATAAACGGACTCGAGAATCCTCACAAAGAGGATCTTAGGATCCTCATTCATGTTTTTCGTGGTCAACAGTTAATAATTATGGTATATTTGTTTTTTTAATATATTTAATTTAAAATCTCCAAGCTCAAGTGGGACTAAGGAGCGGTGGTGGTCCTTGTGGCTTAAAACTTACGTCTAAAGATGTGTTTATTTATGTCTGTTGCACAAGAGTACGCGTGTACCTTGTTATATGTAAGTTTCGTGCTGATGGAGACAAAATCACAACAGGAAGTTATTAGAACATCTCTTTTGGAGATGTCAAATTTTAAGTATAAAATTTAAATTTGACAACTTATGTGATATTTTGATATATTTTAAATTTTATTCTCCACTCAATATGTCAAATTTTAGATATAAACTAAAAATTCATATTTATTTTCTTTGCGTTGATAATGAAAGAAATGAATTAAATGTATAAAAATATTTAAACATTGCATTGGTAATGGAAAGAAACAAAATGTCAAACCTTGAACTAATAAAACTTAAATAAAATAATTAAGTAGAATAAATTTGAAACTGCTGTCAAATTTGGTAATAAGGGAGGAAATATGTTATTCTATGTTTTGTTACATCAAATTTGACTTTTCGGTTAAAAAACATTATTATTGTCTTTTTTTACCATTATTGCTGAGTTAGACATTTTGATATCTTCTTAGATATGCTCTTATGGTGGTATTTCAAGCTAATCGAACACTAATATCTATTTTATATTGTTGTATAAGAATGTATGATTGACTTAAAATATAGTCACAATAACATTTTATTAACTAAATTTGTTGTCTTTTTTTTTGTCATAAACTAAATTTGTTATAAAAAGGAGAAACGGAAACAATTGCGTTGATTTGCTTTTCTTTTTCTTATTACGTGTGAGTTCTGGTGTACATAATATTTTATTTTTTAATTATTCTCTATATATTATGTCACATCAATGATATAGACGTTGTAAAATATACTTTTTGAACTTGTAAAATAATATTAATAGTCACAGTTTGTAGACCAGAGTTTGAATGACATGCTTATCTTTTGATAAAAAAAAAAAGTAAAAGAGACTCCCTTTGTGCTTTTCTCAATTTTATTCTTCCTTTCTTTTTTATTTTTATTCTTCCAATGTCTCATTGCTTTGTCTGATCTTCACACGAAATTTGTTTTCACTTTTGATTGACCAAACATTACTTTGTCATCGTTGTGATTTGGATCCCTACGAATTCTCGCTGTGAGGATCCTAAGATTAATTCATTGTACCCGTTCATCACATATATGCGGCAATAAATCATTTGAATTTTTAATCCTATCTAAATTGCATAATGATTTGTGACCATAGGAAGTTTGGTGAGCGGCTGCGATGACTTGATCTCTAAGATCCTCACAATGAGAATCCGGAGAGGATCCAAATCCCTAGCGTTATATATGTGGGTTAGAGCAATTTGCTTATGTAGTGTCTGCACTTTTGCATTCGAATTCGAATTTATCTCCTCGTAAGTTAGAATTAGGTTAGAATATTGCTTAGAAAAAACATATGCTGATGTTAATGCATATACCGAAGAAAGCTACTAGGAGCAAGAGGAAAAACAGTTGCCTGTAAAATTATATATCTCGTCTGCTGATTTGAATTCCGTATTCGTATTATATTTTTGTCAACTCGAAACTCATCGCTGCTTGTCATCTGATGCATAGGGGTCAGGCAGAGAACGAGTTTAAGGTGGAAGTCGAAGCCATTGGGAAAGTAAAGCATAAGAACTTGGTGGGTCTAATTGGTTATTGTGCAGAAGGTGCTCAAAGGTAAAACTCCATTATCTTATCCTTTAGGTGAACTGAGATCGATGAACCTCTTTTCTCCTCTAACATGCCCATGGGGACTTTTATTGATCTGCAGGATGCTTGTGTACGAGTACATTGACAACGGCAACTTGGAGCAATGGTTGCACGGCGATGTTGGGCCTGTCAGCCCTCTGACCTGGGATATTCGTATGAAAATCGCCATCGGGACAGCAAAAGGGTGAGATAATTTTGCTTCTCCTTGTTCATTTCACTTGTTCTTCCCTTCTTTTTAAATAAAAGAAAGTGAATCCAACGTGAGGGTTAATTAGTCTAGCAGTCGTACAACGAAAACGTGTAAAAGATTTGTCATTCTCATGATTTCCTTTATATCGCTACGAGAATACTTTTCATCCGTCTGCTTCAGATCAACTTATGATCCTTGTTTCTCTGGCAGGCTGGCCTATTTGCATGAAGGGTTAGAACCCAAGGTGGTGCACCGTGATATAAAATCCAGTAACATTCTTCTGGATAGAAAGTGGAACGCAAAAGTATCAGATTTTGGTCTGGCCAAGCTCTTAGGATCGGAGGCAAGCTATGTGACTACACGCGTTATGGGGACATTTGGGTTAGTTTATTCTCAAATCCTAATGATAACTACCATGATGCATTATCAAGGCTTTGTTATAGTGATTCTTTGCTATAATTTTCTGTAGATATGTAGCTCCAGAATATGCAAGCACAGGTATGCTTAACGAGGGGAGTGATGTATATAGTTTCGGAGTTCTACTAATGGAGATAATTACAGGAAGAAACCCAATTGACTATTCCAAACCAGCAGGAGAGGTAAAACTAATTTCTCCTCTTCTTCGGTTCTTCCTATAGAAGCATTGCATCAGTATCATAACTGTTTACAGTTGCTGTATATCAGATGAACCTGGTTGATTGGTTTAAAGGAATGATCCAAAGTCGCCGTGGAGAGGATGTTGTTGATCCTCTGATTGCAGTTCAGCCCCCTCCAAGAGCCATGAAGCGAGTATTGCTGGTTTGTCTCCGATGTATAGATCTAGATGTCCATAAGCGACCGAAAATGGGGCAAATTGTTCATATGCTTGAGGCAGATGACTTCCCTTTTCGTTCAGTAAGTCCTTGTGTTCGGTACTTTATAGATGCACTGCAGATAACTCGCGTACTATTTTTGACAAGTTTCTTGCCAGATTGTTATTTGTTCAACATTAAGACCACGGAAGCACCATCATCCCCTCAATTTATGTTTTCTGCAATTTCAGCTTCCTCAGTTTTCCGTTTATGTTTGCAGGAAACACGATCAGCTCGATAAAAATCCTCTCCCTTTCCCGTGCAGCTGCATCCAGTAATGTTCAATATACATCCAAGTATGCCCCCGGGGGGGGGGGGGGGGGTTAGTAACGAAGATTGAGGTGGAGATGATAAATTTTTTGGCCGATAAATAGCAGTTCTGAGGCGCCATGCACACCATGATCCTCCGTTAGTAACTACAGAAAAGAACTTACAAGCATTGAATGTGTGCGTATATAAATTTCTAATTTCTCTTTCCTGGTCTGATAGATTCTGTTGATATGTTCAGCACCATACTTATAGATGAGCTTGTAAATACGTGCTTATGTGGTATTTTAATATGTAAGGTCTGTTAAGAATCTTCATTTCCTTATCAGTTTCGGATGAAATCCGAGTACTTTTTACTAAATGTAGTTTGAGTAAAGTAGCTTTTGAGACGGACTTCAGGGATTTCGAGTCTCTCCATTTAGCATCCCTGTGCATTCAGAAGTACTCAGAAAGACAACCCAAATATTGTTGCTCCCTGCTGCTATGAGTGCTATCTGCTGTCACCAACATTGCAAGGCCAGTCCCTCTGTTGGTTCCATGCATAATTATTGGTACCATGACTTGCCGTTCATGCCAGTGTTTGTTGCATTATTTACCTACCGACGGATCAGTGTCCACAAAGGAACAAGGGAGCACACTCTAATAGGATGTTATTGCGTTGCAAGAAAGGAAGAAGGGTACCCATGAGGGGGCTGGCCAGTGGCAACAGTACTGGACATTGTTAGCCAATCTTTACCCGAAAAAAGCTTAAGCTGTCCGGGAATTGATCAAGTGCAGATCCATCCTTCACGCGGCGGATGATGATTAATGTAACAACAGTCACCACTATTGTCACGCCCCGATCCCGACATACATCGAGAATCAACACGTGACAAGGGGAAGTAACGTTCGTTGAATATGGCATAAGTTACGGAATGAAATACTTTAACTGATAAACCAAAATAATTATGAGGGTGGCTAGGTCCTCCACCAGATATTTACAAATATGTACACTCCAAAAAGAAGCACAACTCTTGCTAGACTAGGAACAAGTCCAAGGTGCTCAAAAGAAAGTCCCAAAAGATAAAGTACAAGAGAGGATAAAGGGGTAACCTAACACTCCGAGTCTCTAATAACTGCACTGCTACCCCACCCACGGACTTCTCGAAATCTACTAACATTTATCACCTGTATGATTAGTGCCTATACCATCGGAATGGTGCACCGGGCAAACAAGAACCTGGAAAAGTTGCAAAGCTCATGTGAGTGACAATAATACAACGTATGTGAAAATCAATAAAAACAAACCATCGATAACAATCTATAAACATCAAGTATAGAATCATGCTTTATGAAATCATAATCAAGTCGCTGAAAACTCCGAAGGAGTCACCCAGACATCCAACGACTTTTCTAAGTCAAAACACAAGGTTCTCAAAACTATGTTCACGAAAAACACTAAAAACTAGGGCTAGAGTGATGCAGTTCGCCCAAAGCCTACATAAGTAACCAAACAGGAAGTGGCCCCCCATAGCGGATTAACCAAGCAGAGCCACCCCTCAGAAACCATGTAGGTAGTGACCCCCCCCCCCTTTGTGGATTAACCAAGCAGAGTCAATCCATAAAAAAAAAATATGGTCCCCTATCGCGGATTAACCAAGCAGGACCATGGTCCCCTACTAGCTCTCACATTTAATAAACCATTCAAATATATTTTTTAAAACACAATTCATAAACAATTCAAATAGGCAAATCACATAACATTTCATAAAGTAGATTGATGGCAAACTTTATAAAAAACAATTATTTAGCATAAAACATAATTTAGAAATCCATGTTGTATCCACAAAGTATACTAGCATGGGAGGATTTCTAGGTAATAACAATATCACATATATTAAAGTCCGCACTAACGCACCCTATCACGATAATCAAGGTGTCACATACTTTCGTTGCCTAAAATAAGGTACAAGTCTACAATTAGAATTTCTTCGATAATTCATATAACCACAACTTCAATAAGTTCTTCACAATAACATTTTAAGAGAAGTTGAACCGTCTCTCAAAGGTAGGGTCTATGATCCTACGCCACTTGCTTTGTAAAATCCAACCACTAGATTTTTTATTCGTAAGTTCCCAAGGTCCTTAAATATTACATAAAATAACATTTCAAAGTTTGCTGGCGATCCAACGGTTGGATCGTCGTTTGTTAAAATATTCAAGTGGCGAATCTTAACGAAAATATACTCAAATAATGGAATTTTGTTAATTGGATGTTAAATATGGAATTGGGCATCAAATTTAGCTTAGGGTGGTCAGGTGGGGTCTCGGCCCATGTGCCGCTGCATGCAGCAACCGGACGCCCTCGATAAGCCAAAAAGTTTGACTTTTTCCAAAAATTACCAAATTTTACCAGAATGAAGATCTCAATGAGTAGAGTAAGTTTTATACATGTGGCCAAGTCCAATTTGGCCGGGAAAGGCCCCAAATTGGCTCGCACCCGTCGAAAACCCTAGAATGGGTGAGTTTCGATTCTCCTTCCTCGGTGTTCCACTGCCCGTACAACTGGTTGGGTCTTGTTCCTGGGTCCAAGAGGATTAGATTAGGGGTGGTGATGGGTGGTGTAATTCGTCAAAATGGCGAAATTGCTATCAAAACTCCATGGGTCACCCGCACAAATTTACACCGTTTTGGACTTAAAAATCCTCAAATCTGGGCGAATAAGGTAGATGGGGGATTATGGAAGAGGTTGCAGGTGGTGGATGTGTGAATTTCAACAGAAAAAATGGCGAAAATCGCTGGAATCAAACCAGGTTAGTGGTGGGTGTACGAGTCGACAGGAATGGCTCTCTTTTCCTAATTGGTCCTTATTTCCCTCCCTCACTTCTGATTGGCCCCTTAAACTTGTACTTGATTGGGCCGGTCCTCACCTTTGATTGGTTACCATTCCCACATGGTGGGAGTTTTAATTAATTTAAAATCTATAGTTCAGTAAAATGACTTCAAATGTCCATAACTATACTGTTAAAACCCAGATTCGCAAACAGCTTTCACTTATGTGCTCGTGGTTTTGAAATCTATTTGAAAACATTAATTGTGACCTCGAAAGGTCAACGAATTTTAAAGATTAATTACGAAAATTCAAAATCGATAACTAATTGATTTAATTCTTAAAATTAATGGAATTAAAATTAACTAATAAAGATAACGTAAACATGAAATACGAATTTAAATAACGATGTACGTAATGAATAGTGAAATTTCGGGGACAAGATTTCACAACTATCATGTGGTCTACAAAATATGTTTAAGTAGATAATCTCTCTAGCATCACCTATATAGTTTAAATTGTTCAAGTGCGGTTAGATATTCTACTAAATATTTTTGACATTTTGCAATTAGACAACCTAAATTCAGCAATTTTGTGGGAGCATTATAGACAACTTTTCAATGCTATTATATTCCCACTACTAATCTTAATATATTCGAAAACATTAATTGTGACCTCGAAAGGTCAACGAATTTTAAAGATTAATTACAAAAATTCAAACCTGATAACTAATCGATTTAATTCCTAAAATTAATGGAATTAAAATTAACTAATAAAGATAATGTAAACGTGAAACACGAATTTAAATAATGAGATACGTAATGAATAATGAAATTCTGGGGACGGAATTTCACGTTTTTCCCTCATTAAAAAGAGTTTAGTCCCCTAAACTCAATGCACCTGAGTTAAACAAATGTGGATAGTGTTGGCACATCTCATCCTCTAGTTCCCAAGTCGACTCCTCCACACCATGATTGTTCCATAACATGTGCACTAATGAAATAGTCTTGGTGCGGAGAGCTTTCTCTCTCTGATCGATAATTTCAATGGGGTACTCTTCATAAGTGAGATTCTCCTTGACCGGAATAGGCTCATAAGAAATGACGTGAGACGGGTCACTACGATGCCACTGGAGTGAAGATACATGGAACACTGGGTGAATGTGTGACAACTCTGGTGGTAGCGCAAGGCGATAAGAAACCTTGCCCACTCTTTCCAAGACCTTAATCGGCTCAATGTACCTCGGACTAAGCTTTCCTTTACGTCTAAATCTAAAAAAGCCTTTCATAGGGGAAACTCTTAGAAAAGCATATTCTCCAACGTCGAATGTCACCTCACGTCTGTGAGGATCGGCATAATTCTGCTGTCGACTCGAAGCTGCTAATAAACGTGCACGAATCATGGAAATCTTTTCTGCAACAATCTGTATTAACTCTGGTCCCAATAATCAAAGCTCTTCTACCTCGTCTTAGTATAACGGAGATATGCACCTTCTCCCATAAAGTGCCTTGTATGGTGCTATCGCCTAATATCTGTTATTATACGTTAACTCAATCAACGATAGATGTCTGTCCCAGCTACCTTTCAAATCAAGTACGCACGCTCGAAGCATATCTTCCAAAATTTGAATAGTGCGCTCTGACTGACGATTGGTTTGAGGATGAAAAGCTGTGCTGAAACTCAACTTAGTCCTTATAGCATTATGAAGGCTACACTAAAAACGAGAAGTGACACGGGGGTCACGATTGGAAATAATAGACACTAGGACTCCATGCAACTTAACAATCACATCTAAAAAGAGTCTCGCAAGTCGTTCAAGAGAATACGTATTCTCAACAGCAAGAAAGTGAGTAGACTTCGTGAATCGGTCGACGATAACCCATATGGAATCATGCCCATCTCAGGTCCTCGGTAAACCTGTCACAAAATCCATAGTAATATGCTCCCACTTCCACTCGGGAATAGGGAGTAACTGAAGTAAGCTCGCAGACTATTGATGCTTTGCCTTAACTTGTTGACAAATCAAATAATGTGCGAGGAACTCAGTAACCTTTTTCTTCATATTTCCCCACCAGAAACTCTCACGAAGATCTTGATACATCTTTGTACTCCCAGGGTGAACAGAAAAAGTGGAAGTATGAGCCTCTTCCATAACCCCTCTCCGTAAATCTCTGACATTCGAAACACAAAGTCGAGTTTCAAAACGAAGCACACCGATGTTAGAAATGGTAAACTCGGGCCGTGTACCTGCTTGTACATTATCCATGATTCGCATGAACTCTGGGCTCTCAATCTGGGATGTTTGAATTCGTTCAATCAACATAAGTTGCACAGTAAAATCTGTGAGAAGATTATCACCACTTTGATCAATCAGTTTAATTTCCATTCTCCTAAGATCCTCTGTTAACTGACCAACTTGAAGTGATAAAGCTGCTACACTAGCTAAGTGTTTCCGACTCAAGGCATTAATAACTACATTCGCCTTGCCAGGATGATAGAGAATCTGATAGTCATAATCTTTCACCAGCTCTAACCAATATCTCTGTCGCAAATTTAGCTCTCGCTGACTGAAAATATACTTGAGGCTCTTATGGTCAGTGTAAATTTCACAAGACTCCCCATAAAGATAATATAGCCAAAGCTTTAATGCATAAACCATAGCAGCTAGTTCCAAATCATGGATTGGATAATTAAGTTCATGCGGCTTAAGTTGGCGAGAACCATAAGCTACTACCTTGCCATGATGTGTCAGAACGCAACCCAATCCCTTACGGGACGCATCAGTGTATACTACAAAACCTCCAGAACCAGATGGAAGTATAAGTATAGGTGCAGATATGAGTCACCTCTTCAGCTCATCAAAACTAGCTTCACATTTGTCATCCCAAACAAAAGTAATATCCTTGTCAGTTTCGTCAGAAGAAACGCCAATGGTTAGTACCCTTCAATAAATCTCCGATAATATCCAGCTAAGCCCAGAAAACTCCGAATCTCAATCACTGTGGTAGGTCAACTCCAACTACCAACTGCCTCTACCTTTGCAGGGTCCGCCATGATAACATCCTGCGAAATCACATGGCTAAGGAATCTAACATGCTCCAGCCAAAATTCACACTTGCTAAGCTTAGCATATAGCTATTGATCTCTAATAGTATGCAAAACAAGCCTTAGATGTTCCTCATGTTCAGTTGCATTCTGTGAATAAATCAAGATATCATCGATAAACACCACCACGAACAGATCAATGAACGGTCGGAACACCTGATTCATCAAGTCCATGAATGTAGCAAGTGCATTAGTTAGGCCAAACGGTAGAACCAAGAACTCATAATGAACATAGTGAGTCCGAAAAGTTGTCTTCGCTATGTTCTCATCCTGGATCCTTAACTGATGATAACCAGTCTGCAAATCTAACTTACCGAAATACTGAGCACCTTAAAGCTGGTCAAACAAGTCATCAATCCCCAGTAGAGGACACTTATTCCATAATGTCACCTTGTTAAGCTAATGATAATCGATGCACAAACACATAGATCCGTCTTTCACAAAGAAAACAGGAGCACCCCAAGGTGAAACACTAGGTCGAATCAAACCTTTATCCAACAACTCTTGTAACTGCGTTTTGAGCTCCCTAAGTTCCAAGGGTGCCATTCGATACAGAGCCTTAGAAATATGTGTTGTTCCTAGCATAAGGTCAATAGTGAACTCAATCTCCCTCACTTGAGGCAAGCCAGGTAACTATACAGGTAACATATTAGGGAATTCCTTAACTACTGGAATGACGTCAATCTTACTATTTCCTTGATCAACGACTACGACATGAGCCAGATAACCCTGACATTCGTGTCTCATGAGTCGTCTAGCCTTAGCGGTTGATACCATCACTGATATTGGAATGGGTTTACGAACTCCCTTAAATTAAAACTAAGGTCCATTAGGTGGTCGAAAGGTTACCACTTTCTCAAAGCAATTGAAATTCGCGCAACATATGGATAAGTAATCCATGCCAATAATAACATCTAAATCTTGTATCGAAAGAATCATCAAATCTACTGTCATCTCACCTCGACCCACGTGAGCCTCACAAGATTGAACTACTTGATTAACAACATAAGGTCTCGAAAAAAATGAGGAAATAGAGTACGTCACATCCATCATCCCTACAGGTCTACCCAAAGACTTCACAAAATTACTTGATATAAATAAGTTCTCAGCCCCAAGGTCAAATGACGCTCTAGCAGGGAGTGAATCAAGATGAATAGTACTTGTGACTGTGTTCGGCTCCACCTCGGCCTCCAAAGTAGATAATGCACAGACTCTGTCAACCTGTTGAGTACCTACCTGAGATGCCTCAGCTCCACTGCTCTGAGCCTCAGCACGATGATAACCTTCACCTAACTGCCTACCACTCTACTGTCATGTCTTCTGCTGCCCAGTCATCTACTGGCCTAGGCCTGAAGATGCTCCAACATGCCTACTCTGCACCGAAGATGTTACTGAACCCCTAACACTAGCAGCAAGTCTGCCAGTACCACTAGCAGTAGTATAAGGGCAATCACGAAAGAAGTAACCAATCTCGCCGCATTGGTAACAAGTCTTAGAACCGTCTCTACATGCGTCATAGTGTTGGCGTCCGCAGTGAGTGCAGATCCGTGGAAATGTCTTATGTGGTTGGTTACTAGATCCCTTAGAAAAACTCTATGAACGTCCCCTAGAAGAAGTCTGGGATCCACATTTGAACGCGCTCTAAGTACCTCCTCGAAAACGGCTCTGATGAATCGCCCAAGCAGAAAGCTGAGAGCCTCCTCTAGAAATAGCCTGGAAGTCTCCACGAGAAGTACCCTGTTGTCCTCTATGTGATGATCCCAGAGAACTCCTATACGAGAATCCCTGGCACTTTCGAGATCCACTCGAAAACACATAAGATACATGACCCTCAGACCGGGTCATTTTCCTCTGCTCTCCATTCTATTGTGTATTGAGTTATGCATTAATGATAGGAGCATATTTAGGCGACTTACTTAGCTTGTTTTCGTGCATCTATGTTGTTAATTCATAGTTGTTTTAGTAGTTTAAGCCATTTTCGTGTGTTTTTAGGTTCATATGGCTAAGGAAGCAAAAAGATGCATTTTGGAGCATTTTGGAGCAAAATTGGGCTTGGAATGGATAGCATAAGATTGGAGCCAAAGTGTTGGACGAATTTGAAGGCCTTGTATTCATTTTGGACATAAAACAAAGGGCCTAGCCCATTCTCTTTTAAAACAACCCCAAGGCCATGCATTTCCTTCCAATTCCAAAGCCCACAATCACTTCAAAAGCCATGCAAAGAACCATCCATTCCATCAAAAACAATCCATCAATTCACATGCAAAACCACCATTAACACACATGCACCCAAACAAAGCCAACCTAGCTAACCCTACATGCATTCTTTATGCAACTCTTCATCATTCCACCATTCATTCTTTATTCCACAAACAAGTCACATGCATTTCCACCTTCCTATTTCATCATTTCACCACATTCTCCCTCTTTAACTCATTTCATTATTCATTCACTTTGCATTCATTCAATTCCACCCCACATGCACCCTTTATTCTTCATCATTGCAACCATGGCACATTTACACCAACAAAACAACTCCCATGCCATGGCCTACTCATATTCCCATTTCCTTTCCAACATCTCACATGCATTTCCACCTTCCTACTTCATCATTTCACCACATTTTCCCTTTTATTTCCACATGCAATTCTTTATCATTGTAGCCACAAACACCTTAAACAAATAGCCATATACATCTCCACTCCTCCTATAAATACCCTTGCATTCATTCATTCAAAAATCATCTCATCTCATTCACAACACAACACAACACCACAAACACATCCACCTTCCTTAGCCGTGAGTCTCCCTTAGAATCCAAAAACCATCTTCCATTTCCACCACTCCTCATCCATTTCCATAATTTCCCAACACTTCCATCCCCCCAACCAACTATCCCTAGACCTTATGCTACAATAAAGAGGAAGATAAGAGGGCCTAAACGTTCATACAATTCAAGATTGAGTTGTTGGAATGTTTAGGCGTTTCTTTGATTTCAATGTTTAATTTCAATTCTCTTTGTTTTGTACGTATGAGGAAATAAACCCCCTTTAGCTAGGGGGTGATTCGAAACTATGTTTATGTTTGTAATATGATTTGATTACTTTTAATTACGTTTCATAAGTTGTGAATTCAATTTGTTTAACTGTTTGATTGATAACCTATTTATGTATGTTTATTAAGAATGAACGCTTAATTTTCATGCATGAATTTGACGCTAGAATATAAGTGAGTTTCACGTAATAGTTATGAACTTATATTCACAAGTAGTGGAGGTTACTTATAAACAATCGTGTT